TCATCTCCAGTTGCATGCATATTAATTAATTTGTTTTCCATATAGTAATAAGATTAACAACCTTGCATTTACACGGGGTACTGAGTCATATTCAAATAAAACAAGTTCTAATGAGAAAAATTGGATTCGGCAGCAAATCATGTCCCACCCGGCAATGCAGGTTTATGTGTGTTTGTCTGTCTTTGCTACGCATATTTTTGTCAGGAGCTCACTGTAAACACGATGATTTCTTTCATGTCGGGTTATTCTGGGTAAATTTGTTTAATGAACAACAAAAGCATTGTAAACACTGTCCAAATCTGAGCTCCTTGCAGCGTGGCTGGGAATCTCTTAAGCTGCTTCGAAAAATGAAACATGCTCACCACAAAAACAATATTGAGGGAAAACACTATTAAAATGTCAGAAAGGCTCTTAGCCATGCAGTCTGGCTTGGTTCTGTCTTAGCTAACTGAAGAGTTTAGAGTTTACACAGCCATTCTCCAGCCCCTAATCTGGGACTGAGTTTCTTCCTCTACCAACTGAACCGAGTTGTGTTCAACAGGACTGGGAGTTCCCTACGTGTTACTTGAACATCAGCTGGAGGTGGAGGGTGGGCAGTGGATGATGTCAGAATTCACACCACAGGCAGCTCTCCTATATAACAGCCATTTTAGACCCACAAACACAAATCTCTGGATCTGAGATTCTTTATTTTTTTAATATATCATTATCATTGTTCAATTTTAGACCAGTTTTGTTACATAGACCAGGCTGACCTTGAACCTCCTGTCCTCTGCTTCACCTTTCTATAGATCACAGAGTCCCATTGGATAGCCCAGGCTGACCTTAAAGATCTTCCTGCCTCTGCCTCACAAGTAGTAGGACTACAAGCATGGACCATCACTGCCAGCCCTGTAATCTATTTGCTTGCTTGTTTATTTCTTTTTGTCTTTTTGAGACAGGGTCTCCTGTATCCCAAGATGGCCTTGAATTCCTGATCTTCCCACTTCTACTTCTGGAGTCCTGGGGTTGACTATAAGCATATGCCACCGTGCCTGGCTTTGGAGTTTGTGCTTTACAAAACAACTTTATCGGGTGACTTGTACCTAACAAGGTTTGGGGTATATAAAAAAGACAGATCACCATTAAGATATTTTACAGGTCTTCTTTCCTTCTGATTTTGTGGCTATTAAAAATGACATTCTGGGGCTGGAGATATGACGCAGTAGTTGAGAGCACTTGTTGCTGCTCTTGCAGAGGACCAGAGTTCAGTTCCCAGCACACAAGTCAAGAGACTCGCAGCTGCCTCTGACTCCAGCTTCAAGGAACCTGATGGCCCCTTCTGGCCAACAGGGAGGGGTATGAGCATGTGTGCATATACACAGAGAAACACACAGAGACACATAAAAACAATTATTTTTAATATGTGGTTTTTAAACATCCATCTCAGAAAATACTGTTATATGCATCTAGACAAGGCAGAGAGCTATTTATGGAGGTGGGAGCCTAGATTCTAGTCCTCCCAGACTACCCAGAGACATTGGAAAGCCATTTTACTCTGCACTTTTAGTCCCTATGTTCAAAACAGAGGACAGGGACTGCCACAGGACCAGCTATGTTCTGGAGCCTAAACTCAGACATCTTTGGATCCTTCCAGATACGCAGGAAGTGCCCTGTAGCTGACTTTGGAGAACAGAGCCTGGTCATAAAGGCTGGCTGTGCTCAGCATCAATAACATTGCCTTCTTCCTGAGGCCTGGGAGTCTCTTCCGCTTCAGTCCTCACAGTGGGTCCACTTATTCCGGGTCCTCCTCCGAGTTTCCATCTTCAGAACTCCAGAAGCAGGACCACATAGAAGCATTCTGTGCCTCTCTTCTTTCACTCTGCACTTTATTCCATCTCTAGGGACAGGAATGTCAGTGTTGGCGTTTAGTTACTCATTTAACTCTACACACACCCAGGATTTATTCTTCATCACAACAAAAGAATTAAAGGGAGAGGCAGTCCCAAACTATTTCTGTCCTCAAGAAGACTGGGGGAAATTGTTGCCGTGATGTGCCCCTATCACTCTCTCCATCCCCACCCCCAGTGAGCTTTAGGTCAACAGTAGCTCAGCTTGCACTCCACACAGCACACAGGCTGTGCCTCTGCTAACAAATAGCCTTAGCTGCCTGGCTTCAGTCCCTTCATAAGTAAAATGATGGCATAGTTTGCAGCATAGCCCAGGGCAGAGCAGGGCACACTCGTAAAGTATGGAAGCCCAGTGTGCCTCTGGGCTTGGGTCTGAATCTGCACCTATGGCCAGGTAACAGTGTGGAAAATGAACATTAAAGGCTTTGTGTTGATAAACCAGAGAAAAAGTGAGAGGAAATCTTTTTCCATTAGGAGACCAGGACTTTGGTATTACCTGCCTTGTGCATGGCTCTGTGGGGAGTCAGAGTTTAATGAAGTAGGATAAACCACACGCACACATTAGTTAGCCTCAGCACAGGCAGGATTAACTTTACACTCCATTTGCAAGAGCAAAGCTTCTCTCCTAGAGTTTGTTATAAAGGGATTTAGAATCACAGAGTGATAGAGCTGGAAGAGAGCCCCTAAGACAGCATCATAATCCTCCCTCGTCATTTTACAGAGGGTCAGACTCAAGTCCAGAGAGGAGAAGGGGCGTGCTCAAGGTCAACTCCTGAACTAGTGGCAGAACTCAGGTTGGCATCTTTTGATTGCCAGGCTGTATCTATGCATGGATTGCATTACAGTTGCCTGGCAGTAAGGGTGGAGTGACATATCCCTTTCTTCTCATACCATCCATGTTTGGGTTTTGTAGGTATATAGACAAGTTTTGCATTTAACCGACTCAGACAAGCTTCCTTGAGTCAATGCAGCTTTGCAATTGCTGTTCCTCTTGTTCAAATCACTCTTTCTCAAGGGGCCTGCTCAGCGTCATTCCTCCCTGGAAGTCTTCTCTAAATCATACCCTATCCAATCCCAACAGACTGTGAGCCGCTCTAGTACAGGTGGCACTACCTACTTGACTCTATTGCCACTGAACAGCATAGGCTCTGCCACAGGGAGGAGACACAAGCCTGCCAGGGACTACCACATAGACACTCTTAAAGCTAAAAAGTCTTTATTGCTGGCTAGCAGCTACTTGGGAACTCTCCCAAATCATACAGCCCCGAGCCTTACAACTATTTCCTTTTATGTACAAAACCACATCTTAGTTGGCACATTTCAATTAGCAAGAGGCTAAAAGAAGCTGAAAGGCAAGGTTAGTACATTTAGAGATTTTCTGGGACTATGTACTAGGTGTTTGATGGATTAGGTCTTTGTTTTCATTTTTGGCAGGCCTTGGGATCCATGTGATGAGTTTTAAGATCAGAATGGTGTCTCTAACGTGGCCTCAGTTGTGCTAAGATCTGGAGCTGTTACAAGAGTAAACCATTATTGAATGAATGGGCAAGTGACCAAGAGGAGAAATAAATCAGTAATGAAATGCATGACTGAATGCATGAAGTCAAAAGCAGGAGGAGGTTGTATGGGTGTCAAGCTGTGCTGAACTCTTCTTGACAGTTTGGTCATATCTCTCCTCATGGAGGTCTGCCTTTCCTAGGTAGTTTCCATCACTGCCATGGCCCATGACCTACACTTGGGATGGCCAAGACTCTGACCACATATCACAGAAATGAGTCAACTATAGCCTGAACTTTCAGTGAAGGCTATATTATTTTATAGAGCATTGTCCTTTAAGCATGACATGGCCAATGCTTTCTTCCAGTCAGAGAAGCTGTGGTTACACACAGGAGAAGATCACAGGATTGGGCCCGTGTGTGTGTGTGTGTGTGTGTGTGTGTGTGTGTGTTGTGTGTGTATGTATGTGTGTGTGGTGTGTGTGTGTGTGTGTTGTGTGTGTGTGTGTTGTGTGTGTATGTATGTGTGTGTGTTGTGTGTGTGTGTGTTGTGTGTGTGTATGTGTGTGTGTGTGTGTGTGTTTGGCAGTGCTTAGAAGTAGCTATTGCATTAAGATCAGTGACCACCCCTTCCTGAGGATATATAAGGAGTTAGTGAGAGAAAGAAGCTTCTTCAGTTACCCATTGCACGTCTGCAAGCAGCCCCAAGTAAATTATTGTTTCACCAAGGGAGGCTTGGGTAGAATCATTGCTTTGGCCTGTTGTTGGTGATATATGCTTGTTCATGTCTCTCTAAAGCAGTGGCTCTCAACCTTCCTAATGCTGTGACCCTTTAATACAGTCCCTCATGTTGTGGTGACCCCCAGCCATAAAGCTGTTTTTATTGCTATTTCCTAACTGCAATTTTGCTACTGTTATGAATTGTGATGTAGATATCTATGTTTTCTGGTGGTCTCAGGCAATCCCTGTGAAAGGGTCTTCCAGCCCCCAAAGAGATCATGACCCACAGATTGAGAACCACTGCTCTTGCAAAGTTAATAGACCTAAAAAGAATACAATTCTCTCCTTTCCATGTCTTCTGCCAGTTTCTCCTTAGCTGTCTTCACTAGTGCCATACCTAGGAACTAAATACAAGCCAGACTCCTAGACCCAGAAACAACTCCTTTGGGTGAATTTCCTAATTCTAAGAATCCCTGGTTAAAGAAGGGCCATTGGGTGTCCCTGGTTTATGTACAGATTCCCAGAAGAAGAACTTGGGTATGCTGTCAGTAAATACATATGGATGTATGTGTTCATGGAATAGATATTCAAAGTAAAGTAAGGAACTGAATTTGTCCTCATAGCAAAATGGTGAAACATACCATTCCTGGACTGCACAGATGAGTTAGAGCCCCATGTCAGCTTCACCCTTACCAGCAGCCCAGCCTAGGGAAGTTACTTAACTACAGTGTGCTTTGTCTCTTTTTACAAAATGGAGTTAAGATCGTACCTGCCTCCTACAGCTACTGTGAAGAATAAATGAGGCAATGTATGTGATCTGTCTAGAATAGTGCCAGACACACAATGTTGAGTACGCATTTAGACTCATTGTCTACTCACAGTCCCTTGCGCCTGTATGGCAACTGCAAAGAAGGATGGCAAGAAGAAGGAACATTCCACCATCCACGAGGTGGTGAGCCAAGAATACACCATCAACATTCACAAGCGCATCCATGGGGTGTTCTTCAAGAAGCCTGCTCCTCGGGCAATCAAAGAAATTCAGAAATGTGCCGCGAAGGAGATGGGGACTCCAGGTGTGCACTCCGATACCAGGCTCAACAAAGCTATCTGGGCCAAAAGAGTAAGGAACGCTCCACATCGCATCCGAGCACGTTTGTCCAGAAAACATAATGAAGATGAGGATTCACCAAACACACTCTACACATTGGTAACTTATGTGTCTGTTACCACAGTCAAAAATCTACAGATGGTTGACGTGGATGAGAAGTAACCTACTGAATGTCAAATAAAATTGCAGAACTTAAAATAATAATAATAATAAGACCCGTCTAGAACTTCAGCTCATGTTGTTTCTTTTTCCTGGAATGTTCTTCCTTCTGGCTGATTATTTATTTTGAGCAGGGGTTTTCTTTGTGCCCAGACTAGCCTTTTACTCTTGATCTTACTGCCTTAGCCTCAAGTGCTGGGATTTCAGGCATGTACATTGTAGCTAGCTTTCCCTGACTTTTAAAAATTACTCCTCACACCTCGCCCTTTTTCACGCTCAGGTATCCAGTAAAACATCACTTTTTGGGACAGAACTTCCTTGACCTTTCCAAGAATAAAGGTTTTCTCAACTTTGACCTAGCAGTTTATCTGTCTACTCATTGTATTTCTGAACAGGATGAGTAACCTGGTGTTTTGTTTCTCCTTTTATCTAGGCTGAAAGCTCACAGGATGCAGAGCATTTCGACCAGAAAAATAATTGTAAGTGTCTGAAAAGCCCGATCCTCTCTCTTGTCTCACTGTCTTCATCAATATGTTGAAGGATCTGAACGCACACATCTAAGGATCTGTGTAGTGAGAAGAGACGGGTCCTGAGGGAGGATGGTGGGCCTTACAGGTGATGTGAGGTGTTGCACCCGTGTCAGAAACTAATTTGGGCTGAACTGGTTGACTCTGCCAGGACTCAGCCCCTCCCCTTCTTCTTAAACACAGAACTCCCAGTCTGCACTCAAGGCTCTGGGGATGTTCTTGGCTCATCCTCTACCTTATGAAGCCTAAGCAAACTCTTTCCTCCTCTGGGCTTTACTTCTTGGCTGAGGTTCCTAAAAGTGCCTAGAGGTAAGTGTACTCTGTAGAGAAAATCCAAAGTCATGTGGGCCAAGGATTTTGGAGTTACATTTTTAAATGAGTCCTCTCCTTCCCCTTTTAAAGTCATTCTCTGCAGAAATCTAACATCTGTGCCCACTTGAACATTGCAGCCACTCTGCACTGAATCTCTTGTATTCTCATCAACAAGAAATAGACACTCAGGTTTTTGCAGCAGGAAGGAGACACTCTCTCTGCTTGCTTTTGAAACATCCAGACAGTCATAGAGAAGAGAAAGGGGAGGGGACAGCCTTTCCAGATTTCTGAAACTCTCAGCTTTGCCTCTTGCTGGCTGTGTGACTCAGAGTAAGATGTTCAACTTCTCCAAGTCTCAGTATCTCTATCTAACCAATGGGGATAATGATAACCACTACTGACCAACTTGACCTAGAATCATCATGAAACAAAACCTCTGGGCCATGCCTTTGAGGAAGTGAGGACTGGTGAGCTGGGATCTTGAGGCTTCTAGAGAGAGCCTACCCAAAGGCCCTCTGTCAGAGAGGGCCAAAGTGCTTCCTGGGAATAGTGGTTTTGGTCAATATCTCTTCTCAAAGGGGAGAACTGGGAATGGAGTAAACAAAGCATTCTGGAGGGAGGTGGAGAAAGTGGCAGGAGGCAGTTGCAGTCCTGTACAGCAGGGAAGGATAAGGAGGCAGGCATAAAGGTCTGGATCCCAGCTGCAGGGAGGAGGGGCTGCAAAGGGTGGGAGGAGGCAAGGACACCCTAGAGAGGTTCCTGAGAAGAAGATTAGGGCTTTTCCAGAGAAAGGCTTTTCTAATCATTCTTGTGGGCAAGGAGGTTGGAAGCCCTTGCTGTTCTGCTGTGGATTAAGAGGCAGCAGCTTCCCCAGGGAAGGTGGTGCTGTTATTGGGAGGAGGGAATGATCCCAAGCAGTATTTCTCAACTGTTCAGAGATGAAATACACTGTCTCATGACATAGTAAGACATCCATTATTGGTAATGTTCCACCTACACAGGAATCCCATAGGGATGTTACTGAGTAATAGAGCATCAGTCAGTGTCCCACAACCTTCCCTTTTTCACCTTACTATTTTTTTATGATATTGTTTTTAGATGTTATTCCTCTTTCAACACAGACTAATCACACATACACTCACCATTAAAACAGAACAACAAACATATAAACTGCAAAGCATATTTGGCTTGGGACACACTGACACCATCAAGTTGGTCCCTGGTTTCTTTTCCAGCTTGCATCTGGTCCTTCTTGTTATGTCTTTATACCAGCACCAGAAGCATCACTGCCAAATGCGGTGGGAGACTTAAAAGTTTACTTTCAGCTTCTGGCAGAATTCCAAACTAGATCATTAAAGTTTTGTCTTCCCTCTTTGAAACTCCCCAAAGAAAAGAAATCACAAGAACAGATCTTGGCAAAGACAGAAAATGAGACAAAAGAATGCAATCATATACTAGTGAATGGTTTTCAGACTGACATCTGTACATTAAGAATATGTAAAAATACCAATTTCATGCTCTGACAACTTATTCTGCATCAGGGGTGGGGTAATGCCTTGGGAATGCCAAACGTCAAAGCATTACATAATGTCAGCTATTCTTGTGCTCCTGTGATAAGAGATCGCTTGGTATGTGAATTCCTAAAGGGAGAGATGTCTTGAAAGAGGGAGAGGAGAGGGAAGGAACAAGGAAAGAAAAGGAGAAAAGGGAGACAGTGTCAAATCAGAAGAAAAGATTGTCTATGTAAAGAAAATGCATAGAACAGCACTTATAATCCCCAATCCAAGCCAGTGTGTGTGTGTGTGTGTGTGTGTGTGTGTGTGTGTTATTTACCTGTTTACTTTCCTATAGGTGAAGCCTTTATATTTCATTTTTTTCTTTCATATGCACAATGGTGCTTTTGTTGTTTGAAATTTATTTATTTATTTTATGAGGATATTTCAAGATATAACTTGTACAATAATACATTAAGCTTAGGTGCTTACCTTAGTGTCTTGCATGGAGGTATGTCTGTGGACCACATGCATGCCTGGTACCTGAAGAGGTCAGGAACATCAGACAACTGGAGTCACAGACAGTTGTGAGCCACCATGTGGGTGCTAGGAATTGAACCGTGTCCCCTGGAAGAACAGCAGTGCTCTTAACCGCTGAGCCATCTCTCCAGCTCCTTTTGTTTGAGTTTTTACAATGTCAACAGAAATCTAAGTGTAAAATGCACACATGATTCTTTGCTGAACAAATCAAGGTAGCTTAGTTTCCCTGCTCTATGTTAGTACTTATCCAAATGCATAACTTCAATGAGTAAAAAGTCACATGGCTTTCAAAATTCTATTTCTAGTTCTAAAATATCACCTTCTTCATATTATCACATGGGCCTCATAACATCTACTTTAGGAACTTAGAAATAGTGCTAGACACATTGTACTCTAAGCCACTTAGCTTAGTGCACTGGTGAAGTTCTGTCAACTTGACACACCTAGCTGTAGATGGGAGGAAGCACTCCTCCTGAGAAAGGCCTCGGTCAGATTGGCCTGTAGGCAAGTCTGTGGGGGTAGAGTTTCTGGATCAGTGGTTGATATGGGAGGGTCTCGGTGTGGTGCCACCCTGGGCAAGTGGTCCTGGGTTTGTATAAGAAAGCAGGCTGAGAGAACCAAGGTAGCAAATCAATAAATGGCACTCTTTCCTTCCTCTAGTTTCTGCTTCCATGTTTCTGCCTTACTTGAATTTCTGCCTTGGCTTTGCTCAGTGATAGACATAAGCCAAACAAACTATTTTGTCCCCAAGTTAATTTCAATCAGTGTTTTATCAAAGCAATAGAAAGCAAAAAAAAAAAAAAAAAAAAAAAAACTCACTTAGTTTCCACCCCCACCCCTACCCCCACCCCCACCCCACTATGCATTGTTGAGGATTGAACCTATGGCCTCATTTGTGTTAGGCAAATGCTCTACCACTGAATGCTGTAGTGAGACTTTTGGTTTCTTAAAAAACCCAGTTGTTATGTGGGTATGTTTTCATTTTAATCCCAGGTGTGAGGTAAGGGGCTGCTTCAGATTGTTTAAAGTAGCTGACTGTAGGGGCATAAATTTGTTAGCTGAAAATGGGTTACGTTTGGAATTCTGGGAACTCCTATAAATGCCAGATCCCCAAGAGGGGCAGAAGGCTCTCCAAAGAGGGGCTGCTGCTCCCCCTGCTGCTGTGGTTTATTGTGGTTTGTAAAGGAGTAGAAGAAATTGGATATTCTTAAGGAATTGGATATACCCCAGGCATTCAACACCCCTAATCAACAGGAAGTAGTCTAAAGAGGTCTACTTCCTTTCCCCCTCTAACCTTCTCTCCTACTTAGTGTTGGAGGGGTTGGAAGGGTTGGAAGGGATTGTTGGAAGGGATTAGGGTAGAATAAGGTTTGGAAGGATGGTAAATGTAAGAATCCAATAAAATAGGTAAAAAGTACACCTACAGCTCTCTCTTTTTCTGTCTCCCTCCCTCTCTCTTCTCCCCCTTTGCTGTGTGTGTGCATGCATGTATGTATGTATGTGCTTGTATGTATGTGTACAAGAAGGTCAGAGGTCAACTTCAGTGCCGTTCCTCAAGAGTTCTGTCTATCTTGTTTTGTTGAGACAGTCTCTTAATTGGCTTGCGGCTCACTCAGTAGGCTAGGCTGGTTGGCCAGTGAGCTCCAGGGATTCTCCTGTTTCCTTCTCTCTAGCTCCAATAATATAAGTGTCACTATGCACATCTTTGTTAAGTGAGTTCTGGGGACCTGACTCAGGCCACCGTGCTTGCATGGCAAATTCTTTACTGACTGAGCCATTTTTCTGAGCCTTCGCCCCATGGTTCTATTTTCACTCTTTATTTTGAGGTTGGTTCTCATTAAGTTATCCAGATGTCATGAACTCACTGTTAGCCCCAGAAGGCCTTGAACTCATGACCCTCTTTTTTAAGTTTCTAAGTAGCTGGGATTATAAGCATGTACCACCATGTCAGCCTACTTGGCTGTTCTACTTTTAAATTCATGCTTGCTTTTTCATAGCCATAGATGGTGTCATGTTTAGCTTCAGCTGTCAATATGACACAACCCAGAGTCATCTGGGAAGGAGGACTCTCAACAGAGGAATTGTCTTCATTAGGTTGGCCTGCGGATGTGTCCATGAGGAGCCTTCCTGT